CTGGATTCCAATCCAGCGCTTGCTTGCAGATTTCGTTTCCGCCCCGTCAAAGTGTGTGGCTGACCCCCCTCCACTTTTGCTCTCGAATTTCTGTTGCTATCGGCTTCTGATGACATCGACGATGGAGCTCGGCATTCGAGATGCAGTTGTGAAATCACCAGGCACGAATTATATACCGCAGGCATCGGTTGATGAAGACCTGCAGCTTTTGAGTGTTCTCCGCTGATAACCACCACGTCTCGCTGGCGTATAACAACACAGATTTCACGTTCGAGTTGAAAATTTGGATTTTGGTGCGTTGACTTATCTGGTTGGATCTCCATACGTTTCGTAAACTCGCAAAGGCAGCCCTAGCCTTCTTGATTCGTGCACCTATGTCGCTCTTGGTCCCGCCGTCTGACGCTATTTGGCTGCCAAGATATTGGAAACTTTCGACCTTCTCCACTGCTTGCCCCGCTACCGTAAAGTTGGAAGGGTTGCCCGTGTTGATATCCAACGATTTGGTCTTGTTGACGTTCATGGTGAGACCCGCCGCAGAGGAGCGTTCGGCTAGGTCATTGAGCTTACTCTGCATATCAGAGCGCCGTTGTGCTAGTAGAGCAACATCATCAGCCAAATCGAAGTCGTTAAGATGCTCCATGGTGATAGGCTGCCAAAGCAGCCCACGGTTTGGTACACGGTCAATTTCACCTACCATGATCTCGTCGATTACGATGAGAAACAGTAGCGGTGATAGTATTCATCCTTGTCTCACACCAGCGACTACCCGGATAGTGTCGGACAAGGCTCCGTTATGCAGAACTCTGCACGTGAAAGCCTCATACTGCGCTTCGATGAGGTTGACGATTTTATGGCGCCCCACAGATTCTCGTGATTGAGACGGTCGAAAGCTTTTTCGTAGTCAATGAATACCAAATAAAGGGACTCTTGGAATTCATTGAGCTGCTCCAGGATGATGCGGAGCGTGACAATATGGTCCACACAAGATCTTCCGGCACGGAATCCTGCCTGCTGCCTTTTGGGAGTCACGTCGATCTTCTCCTGTATCCGATTCAGGATAACTTTGCACAGAACTTTGAGAACAATACACAGTAACATGATGCCTCGCCAATTGTCGCACACAGTCAGATCCCCATTCTTTGGGACCTTCACTAAGATGCCCTGCATCCAGTCGGCCGAAAATGTCGCGGTGTCCCAGATATTACAGAATAGTTGATGCAACATCTGTGCGGATAGCATGGGGTCAGCTTTGAGCATCTCCGCTGATATGCGATCGACCCCTGGAGCCTTGTTTGATTTCATGCTTCGGATAGCTGCTTCAATCTCCTGCAGTGATGGGGCCTCGGAATTGACGCGAGTGATGCGCCGCACCCTAGGCGGATCATGCCGAGAAGTTGATGGCTGTTTGGCCGTCGAAACTTGAAGAAGTTGTTCGAAGTACTCAAACCAGCGTTTCAGCTGGTCAGTGGGGTCGGTAAGCAATTGTCCAGTCGTGTCCTTCACTGGCATCCTCGGGTTCATGCTTGCTCCACTCAGGCGTCGTGAGATATCGTAGAGGAGGCGTATATCGCCAGTGTTTGCGGCTTTCTCCCCTTCGTCAGCCAGGGAGTTCACCCACGCTCGCTTGTCCCGTCTGCAAGAGCGCTTGACTTCCTTCTCTAGAGCCGAGTACCGTTGACGGGCTTCGTTCTTGGCTCCTCTGGTTCTCGCCCGCTCTATCGCGGGTTTTGCTTCTCTACGCTCCTCAATCTTCCGCCAGGTTTCATCTGTGATCCACTCTTTCCTCTGGGTGCGCAGCTCACCCAAGTTGTTCTCGCTTGTTTCTATAAAGGCATTCTTGATGGCCGTCCATTGTTCTTCTACGCTGCCACCTTCTGGAACGTCCGCAGCTCGAGTCTCAAGTTCTTGAACAAAAGACCTTTTTACGCGCTCGATCTTCAAGTCGGCGTGTGTTGAACCGCCGCCCGAGTCTCTCCTCCCGTCGCTGGATCCGCACCATGCGTAGGAGGCTTTCGCCGATTATTAGGTGATGGTCAGACGCGATGTCGGCGCTGCGTTTATTCCGGACATCAAGAAGGCTCCGTCTCCATTTTCGGCTGATGCAGATGTGGTCGATCTGATTTTAAGTATGTCCATCACGGGAAACCCACGTGACTTTGTGCACTGGCCGATGGGGGAAGAGCGAGCCCCCGATCACCATGTCGTTATTGCAACAAAATTCTGCAGCTGACCGTTCTCGCTCATTTCGCCGAGACCATGGCGTCCCATGACACGCTTATAGTCCGTGTTGTCGGAGCCGATCTTCGCATTGAAGTCGCCAGTGTAGATCTTGATGTCACCCTTTGGAACCTTATCCACGACGGCATTCAGTTGACTGTAAAAATTCTCCTTTTCCTGTAGCTCGGCAGCATCGGTTGGCGCATAACATTGGATTATGGTAAGGTTACGAACCCGTGTTATAAATCTGGCAACGATTATCCTCTCATTAACAGGCTCCCACTTGATCAGCGCAGCACTTGCCTGGACGCTAAGTAGGAGACCAACTCCACGATGGCGGGGAGCGTTTTCACCTCGAATATCACAGTATAGTAGTACCTGTCCCGACGACAGTTTGTGTTCTCCAAAGTTTGGCCAACGATCTTCACTCAGTCCCAGGATTTCTAGCTTCATGCGTCGCGCCTCGTTGGCGAGTTGTGCCAGTTTATCCTGCTGGGCTAACGTCAATACATTCCATGATCCAATTCGTGTCCGTTGTTTTCCGCTAAAAGTCGTTGCCGTTATATCAGTTCGATGTCTTTCTCTGTTGTGATGGGGCTGCCATCTTAGGTGTAGCTTCCGGGGAAGAAAATTTCTTATTCAGCCGCTGGATGCCAGTCAGACGCTGTTTGGGCCGCACCTACATGGTGAACAGACGCTCGGGTTGGCTCTAGTATATGGTGTTTTGAAATTTATGTACATCTTTTCAAGCATGAATTTAAAATTTATTTGTCATATCCATAACCAAAGTATCAAGTTCCCTCATTCGGTTCAAAATGCCGAGAATTCTACCACGCTTGCTATCGCTGATTCTTAAGAAATGGCTGACAGCGTATCGACGTAAACTTAAAGAACTATAATGGCAAACATTTGTATCATCGTGGCCATCGATCAGTCTTCCCATTAATTTTCCGGCAGATTATGCTTCTTTCGATAAAGAAACACATTTGTCGATAACTACTATAATCATTGCCATCTGTCATCTAGTGTGTATCAAACTCTCTTTACCCAGCGATGCAAATCGATAACAAGGAGATTATAAATGTGCATCGATGGTAATCTTTATTGTTCTTTGCCAAAGTTCAACGTTACGATGGTATCAGTATTCAAATATTTTTAGATGAATATTTATAAAGAAAACTATAGTCCTTGTGACACATCTAAATTAGAAGAAATTGAGTATGGTAACTTTTTAGATTACTATCATGCGACCGATAAAGAAATTATCTTAAATGTAAGTAGCGATCAATAAAGGTTTTTAAATATATTCATCGAAATCAAAGAAACTTGAAAGTAAAGAATTACCGATATTAACCTTTATTTTTGTATAAAGTACTTTGAAGAAGTTTCACGAATGGTTGGTCGGGATTAATCATTTCACGCAAATTTTTTCCCCTTTGAAGTGGTTTTCTTATACCTAATTTGCCACTTATGGCAAGTCCGTCCCATAGAAACTAGTAAGCCGAGAAAAAACGCATTTGAAATTTGCCGCATACCATTGCTACTTATGTAATGGGACAAGCCGTACCGCTGATTTTCCAAACTTTTCCAGAACAATGTTGCAAGCGTATTTTGATGTAAGAGACACAATATAATCTATTGTTACAATGCAATAAAATCTCTATTGTAGCAACTGTTCAGAGGCACATTTCCAAGTCTATTAGACTGATTCAAAATTTGACCTTTTCGCTCCACAGTGCTTAAATGGTTTCAAATCGGGTCCTGATTAGCCTCCCAAAGTCACAACTCATTTGGTTAGAAACAGATTTCGCACAAGCCATTTGAAGTTTACATGTAAATTACTATGGGAAATATCAACTTTTTGTTCATTGCCTTCTAGTCTTTTTCCATATTAAGCTGCGAAACAGTTCGATAATCATTCTTATAGAAAATTTTCTCAGCTACAACTTTTCTGAAGATCTCTATGTAAAACCAGACAGGAAAAAGTTATTAATTATTTAAGAGATTGGTAAACTTATGACATGATCAAGCAGCTGCTCTGTATTTTGCAGTGTGACATAGTAGCCATGATTTGTGTGTCCTATTCAACGCCCCAGAAACACCAATGTTGCCTGCTGAGCAGTTAATTGAGCATGATCATAAGACATCAGCGCATTGAACCATTGATAACTTTCGATCCTTGCAAAAAGTGGTCTTGAGCAAAGTTGTAGCTGGGAAAATTTCCTACAAGTACAGTTGAAAGTTTTTGAAGCAGACCGATATGGTGAATTATTAGATAGACATGAATAAAAATCTTGGTTTTACCATAGTAATTCCCATACAAACTTCAAATGGTTTGTGCCACCTCAGTTTCTCACCAAATGGGTTCAAATTTTGAGAGGTTAGTCAGGATCCGATTTGGAATCGTTTAAGTATTGTGGAGCGAAAATTTCAAATTTTGCATCACTCTAATGTTTATCCATCGATAGATTCTGTCAGCATCTTCCGGTAGTTACTTTTAACGTTCGCCGGAAACTTTTGTCTGACTTTATTGAAAGTTCTATGAAACCTTTCTGAAAAGTTCCCATAGTCATCTACTGAAATTTTTTTATTAATTTAATATCGTTACAGTTTATCAATGTCAATGTGAAGTGTTCTATGTATCGTCGAGTGTTCTCATAAATAAACATTAGTGTTCGTCTTTCAATGCAACAACATCTTCATTGTGCTTTTTCCGTGCTGTAGTGGTAATTTTATGTTGAAATAAACCACTCGTTTCAATAATAAAAACATTCACATTTTAGGATCGTAGCCAGCATCACCTACTTCACGCTGGTTTTGCTCAGCTCTCGCTTGGACGGCAATCCGTTCGTCAATTTCCTGTTCCAGAGTGCCATCGAACTTCCGGCGTACAAAGTAGGTCAAATACTTTCCGACAACCTCGGAAGACGTGCTTCCAACTCGATGGCCTTCCTCTGTGCCTCCTTCATTTGCATTCCAATCGTACTGATGATACGTAGTGCGGAGTACGAAACCACCTCCATTGCCTTGTCCATAGCCATCAAGTTTTGCGTCAGCATTAGTTTCTTCGCTGTGAATCTGCAATCGATCGAAATCTACCCGACTTGCCTGCGGCAGACGGGACTGGCGTTCGCAGCCATCATGGCTAACCTGTTCGGTATTTTCGGGCCCTACGTCGTCTATCTGGGAACGGAGTACGACGTACGGTATCCGTTTATAGTGATAGGTCTTATGTCAGTTGTTGGCGCTATCTGTGCATCGTTACTACCGGAAACTCTTCATCAATCGCTGCCAGAATCGATCGAACAAGCGCAGAAGTTCGGCAAGAATCAAGGCTTTTGGACACTACCGAAGAAACCCAGGACGAACAAGAGTGTCGAAATTGGTCAGGAAATGGAAGAAGGCATGCGGCTTAAGGATCACGATGAGCATGTCCGGTAGAAATAAATAAAGAATCAGCGTCCAGCATTTTGCGTAGTATTTACTGAAAAGATGACATTTCACTAAGATCTCTTCAAATCGACAAAATGGATTTTTAACAACGCTCTTCTTTTACAGGATGGTCGTCAGTCTGACCTACTTCACCATCATATTGCTCAGCTCCCGGATGGATGGCAATCCGTTCCTGAATTTCCTGTGGCAAAGTGCCGTTGAGCTACCTGCCTACAAGATCGGCCAATGTCTCTCCGACAGCCTAGGTCGACGGCTATCCAACTCGCTGGCATTTCTCCTTTCCACCGTAATCTGCATTCCGCTCTACATGATCGCTCGCAGCTCCGAGTACGAAGCCATCACTATCACGCTGACGATTGCCATCAAGTTATGCATCAGTATCAACTTTTTCGCCGTGAATTTGCAGTCCATCGAGATCTACCCGACCTGCCTCAGAAATACGGGACTTGCTTTCGCTGCCATCATGTCAAATTTGTTCGGCATTTTGGGGCCCTATGTGGTCTACCTGGGAACGGAGTATGACGTGCGGTATCCATTTTTGGTGATTGGGACAATGTCAGCTGTAGGAGCAGTTTGCGCTTTGCTTCTTCCCGAGACGTTACACAAAGCTCTACCGGAATCAATCGAGCAGGCTCAGAAGTTCGGTAAGAATCATAGTTTTTGGTCCTTGCCAAAGAAGGTCAAAGTATGCTCGGTAGAAGAACTGGGATGTGAACTTCGAGAACGTAAACATTAGAATTGCAATAGTGATTAGGACGTTGATCGTTAATAAACACGTTTAATTTAAAAGTCACACTGTAAGTTCAATTACCAAGAAAATAATCTGGCTATTAAACTTTTCCATTCGTGAAACAACATCAGACACTTTCTGCCCACGAAAATAATCGGTGAGTAAATATCTACCTAGGATCGTTTTTTTTTTCGTTTGCTACCTTTGTTGACGCATCGTTTATCCGACTGCTAATGTAGGTCGATGATGATACTGACAGCAGTCGGTGGTGGCCTTCGAAGAGGGGCCTCAGCTGTTGTGCTGTTATTCTCCATTTAATTTGCATAAACATTGCTACCCAGACCTTCCCCTTCCCAGAAACATCAACAACAGCAACAGCAGAAAAGGCGTCTTAGTTTTGCATCAGCCGGAAAAGCCGATGGGGAAAAAAATCGCAACCACAGCGAGATGCTTGAGAATGTGATGCGATTCTAGGGATTGGGAAAAGGATTTCAGTTTCAGTCGTTATTTTGCTTGGCATTTCTCATAGGAGAAGCCCCATCACGGAATGGATGTAAAATTAATGCCTGAGTTACATGTTAAAATCCGGGGAAAAGGAAGTGAGGGCTGCACATCTTGAGATTGTAGATAGAGCATTTCAAAGACTTTTCGCTCGATTACGGAATGTTTGCTGTGCTGTAGGTTTTTATTTTTTATTTGTGCTTTTTCCCGACAACCAACGATGGTACGTTAGTGTGATTGGGAAAAGGATAATCCCGGGGAAACTATAACATGACGACCCTTTTTTTTTGTTGCTATCATCATCCGTCGTTGTGCTGTAGTGCTTGCTTATGGCTATTGCCGTTGTTCGTTTTTACGACGATGTTTACAGCAACACTTAGGCAAATTGATTCCCCTCTGTTTGTCATGGTTTTACCGATGTTTGTGTAAGTCAAGTTGGGTATCGTACTGCTGCAGGTTTGCGTTATATTTTTTCAGATTTTTAAATGCAGAAACCCATTACCATCCGCAAGATGACACACCGCATCACCAGGACACGGTTGCACGAATACCTGTATACTTGATGTACGTTCCCAAAAGGCCGTTAAGTTTCGGTCATTGGTTGAACATTTGCCCCATTATACCCCTTTCACATTACAGCGTATATCACGTGATATACGCTGTCTTGCAATGAGCACTCATACATCTAGTCTTCACCGGAAATTCTATGTATGAGTACTCATTGCAAGACAGCCTATATAAGGCTGTAATGTGAACGGGGTATTAACAACAATCAATACGAAACTAACGATTTTAAATTGGCTCACCACTTTAGTAGCCTATTGGTCCCAAGCAAACGATTAACGTACCCTATTCTAGTCGAAATTCTAGTACTACGCAATGTTTGTTTTGATTCGCTATGAAAGTTTGACAGATAAAATGAGGGGTTATTGGTTTTTCCTATGTTTCGAGGGGTGATTCGATTAGCTTGGGACCGAAGAGAGTGCCAGAGCTGAGCCAAAAAGTTGAGCACGTTATTTCGGGACCTTCTAGTCTTAGAGTTACCTCTATGGTATTAACCTTACTAATAAAGTGACATGGCCAAAAAGACGTTCGAACAAGTGAAACTAAAACGAGAAAACTGTTTTTAACGTTTAGCGAAATAGAAAGACTGCATTTATTTATCGTCACTTACAAAGTTGTCAAGTTGGTTGTAAAAACAAAACGAAATTCACATACACATACACGCAGCAGTTTGACAGTAACACAGGGTGGTCCAAACCCGCCTGGGGTGTGATGGAAGTGCGATGATTACAGAGATTGTAATTCTCAACACGCCCGCTCAAACGCTGCAATCTTGTATTCCAATACTCGACCGCAACTTCTGGAACGCTGGAGCAGGTAGACCTTTCGTGAACTGTTCTGTTCACCTTAATGCTTCCGGCCTCGACAAGCTCTCGCACGTAGAAGTACTTAACGTCGATATGTTTTAGTCTTCCAGTATCCTTGGGATTTGAATCGATCCTCATTGTGGATTGGTTATCCTCGTGAAGTGGTACTAGACTATACAATCTCCAACCTAAATCCTTCATCACACGTATCAACCATTGGCTATGACACGCTGCTGCACAGAGAGCAATAAGTTTAGCTTCCGTAGACGAAAGTGATACTGTGGATTGCTTCGTCGCGAACCAACTAACTGTCGCACCAAAAACCTTGAATACAGCTCCCGAAACAGACCGACGATCCGTTATATCATAGACCTCCGAAGTAACATTTTAAGTTTTATGTAATACTACATTCATAAAACTCTGGTCAAGGTTATTTTGTCATTAATGCATCCACCAAAACCTCATTAAGACTAGAATATGTCTAGTTGGCACACATTTTCGCATTTAAATATTTATTGCTAAATTTACCAAAATATAGTTAAATTCAAGGAAATATTGATTGAAAAAATCGATGATTGTAAAAAACAAGCAAACTAATTGTAACATGGCCTTGGCATAAAAGTTGATTTTCATGGGTCATTTGTGAAAAAGTTGTTTTGCTTTCAAGAATTCCTTAAATAAATAAGGTTTTAAAATGGCTTTTATGAAGAAAACTTGTATTTCTCGAAAGCCATTTTGCTTGATCCTAACCCGTTCAGATTTATGGCAGCATTTATGGAGGCAAAGTTGCCTGCAAAAAGTTAAACGTCAAAGTTTGTTTATTTTTCGATATTTAGTTGCGCTGTGGGATCCAGGGTTCCTCCAGGCGGTTTTCTTCCGATGGATTGGGAGCAGTTACTCAGATAGTTTGCTATACTGTTTTGCAACATTTCGGATTTCGAACAGCTGGAAGCGCAGTCGTTCCCGAAAAAGAACCCCTTCTTCCGGATGGTTTACGAAGAGTTGATTCTTTCGCCGAATAAAATCGCTAATATGGATCGGAAACCAGCTAACCTCTGCTAACAAACAATTTCAGAGTTTTGCTGTCGTTTGTTATTTCGTTTGTTTTCTATTCGCAAGATCTGGAGAAGGCTGGTATTTTTTTCAACTTTCGACAATGTTATATGAATTCGAGGGGCCCGCTCCCTTCACTCTTCTCCGCCAGATGGTCAGTCGTTGATGGTGTGCGGGTTCTTCTAAAGAAGAAAATTTTGCTGAAATCAACATGAATTTTTCATCCTACTTCGTCCATGCTTCGAGATTACCTTGTCATAAATTTGGAAACTATGATGAACCATTTTTTTAAGCTGTAATTGGGGAGTTAATGATCCACTTAAAAAACCTAAAAAGCAACAATAAATGCTTTTTGCTCTAATGCAAAACCTAATGGTTTTATGGTTGCTTTTGCCAGAATATAAAAGGTTTTTAAAACATTAATGAGCTGAATTACTAAGCAGGAATGTTTTACACTTGGAAATGCTGTATTTAAACTAAATGGATTGTTCATTACCGTAATAAAACCATCATAAATCAGAGTGGATGCCAAATGGTTACTGAATTGTTACTTGAGCCAATCCGTATCTGAATACGCTTCCAACAAAGGTCCATCGTATCTCAGCATTCTCCGCAGGTGAGTCCAGTGTTCTTCGTTGAAGCAGGTTTGAAACTGGCTTAAATAGTTTGCCGCTGCAGCCAGATCCGGCCTCGTTGTCATGAAGACGTACATGATACAGCCCACGAGCATAATTTTCTTGAACTCATCTCCTTTTGCAAGTCGAAGCCATTGGCATGATAATAGGACGACAATTGTCCATACCGAAACGAATCTCGAAATAAATTTTCTGGCTTATGCGCATGATCTTCTTATCAGCATCACGATCAATTTTCATTCCCAGAAAATTCTTGACTGGTCCTGCAACGGTCATCTCGAACTTTTTCGATAATGCTTGCTTGACTTCCAGTACGATCTTCTCCGAAAGGCTGACCACGAGTACATCATCTACATATAGCACCAGTATCACTTCCCTGATCCACGAGCGTACAGATCACTTGCACTGCGCTTGAAATCACGTTCGGCTCACTTGCTTCAGTCCATAGAGCGATTTATTCAAGCGACACGCCATGCCATTCTTGTGACCGATATTTCCGCCGACAATGTCCCGTTAAGGAATGCCGTCTCGACATCCATCTGATGTACGGCCATTCCTTCTTGATTTGCCAGCGCTAAAACAGTACGCAAGGTATCCAAACGGGCCACCGGAGAATATGTTTCTTCGTAGTCGAATCCACGTTTTTGGCAGAATCTCCTTGCTACGAGTCGCGCCTTGTACGGTGGTGGCTGATTGTCCTCCGTTCTCTTGATATTGAAAACCCAT